CAACACGATTAGCACAACAACAGGAACAATAAAAAGAACAACAACTACAACAACAATAATAATAATGGTAATGATGATGATGATGATGATGATGATAATAATAATAATAATAATAATAATAATAATAATAATAATAATAATAATAATAATGATAATGATAATGATAATGATAATGATAATAACAATAATAATAATAATAATAATAATAATAATGATAATAATAAAAATAATAATAATAATTAATAATATTAATAATAATAATAATAATAGAAACGATATTCTAATTAATTTCGCGCTTCAAATTTGTGACATTGTTGGTTGCCATCTTGACAACGGCCACGTAGCATGAACAATCGTATAATTTCAAATATTTTGTTTACTAATTTCAATGAACCTTTGCGTTTTTATTTCGTTACTTTTATTTTATTTTAATATATTAAAAAATACAACTAATTAACTATTAATAAAATTTACTTAAAATATATTGCACTGATGATGACTTTACGTCGAAATAGATCTATATGCATAATTTTAATAATAATATAAAAAATAAACGATTATAAAAATGGGATCTTTCTTGATTAATTTTAACAATTAAAATCATAAACGATTATAAAATGGATTTCAACATTTTGAATAGACTTAATTGTAAAGAACTAGTTCAAAATATTAGAAAATCAACCATAAAACTTGTTAATGCTGAATCGTCGGTGGATTTTTTGAACAACTGTATATATATATATATATATATATATATATATATATATATATATAACGCGTCTGCCATATCTTTATTATATATATCCATGGACCTACTTATTGAGCTGTGTTAATTTTCCTGGCATAATTAAATAAAACTAAAACAGTTCAACTAAACTAATTTTTGAATGTAAAAAATGAGTTAAATTAAAAATTATGATTTGTTGTCTTGATAAATCACCAAAAATGTTGAGTGTCTTGTTTTACCTATAATAACAGAGTTTAAATATTTTATCTTTGTTTAATACTGTATTATATAACAAAATGTTGCAAACAGTACATAAACCACAATCCTATGAATTACTTGCATGTTTAATTAATAACAAATATCGATATCAGTAGTGGTCTAGTTTTTCATAAAAACTAATCAAATAATACCATTTTATAAATTTATACTAAGTTATATTTTGTAATTGATAGTTTTTTTGATTTTCACGGACTCAATTATATGAAACCAAAAAAAAACGCAACCTACTAAGATAGCTGCCTGAAGCAGGCTCATTCAATTAAAAAAAACGCAACCTAACTAGAGAGCTGTCTGAAGCAGGCTCAACCATTTTAAAAGGTACGCAACCTACTTAGAGAGCTGCCTGAAGCAAGCTCATTCAAATAAATAAGCTGGCTCAATCATTAAAAAAAACGCAGCTTATTATGAGACCTTCCTGAAGCAGGCTCAGCCATTTAAAAAGAACGCAACCTACCTAGAAAGCTACCTCATTCATTTAAAAATATGCAACTTAACTAGAGACCTACCTGAAGCATGGTCAACCATTTAAAAAAACGCAACCTGCCTAGAAAGCTGCCTAAAGCAGGCTCATTCATTTAAAAAGAACGCAACCTAACTAGAGAGCTGTCTGAAGCAGGCTCATTCAATTAAAAAAAACGCAACTTACCAAGAGAGCTGCCTGGAGCAGGCTCATTCAATTAAATAAAACGCGACCTAACTAGAGACCTGCCTGAAGCAGGCTCAACCATTTTAAAAGAACACAACCTATCTAGAGTGCTGCCTGAAGCAAGCCTATTCAATTAAATAAAAATGCAACTTACCTAAGGAGCTGCCTAATGCAGGCTCAACCATTTGAAAAGAACGCAACTTAACTAAAGACCTTCCTAAAGCAGGCTCAACCATTTAAAAAGAACGCAACCTACCTAGAAAGCTGCCTAAAGCAGGCTCATTCGTTTAAAAAAGAACGCAACCTACCTAGAGAGCTGTCTGAAAAAGGCTCATTCAATTAAAAAAACGTAACAACTTACTTGGAGAACTGCCTGAAGCAGGTTCAACCATTTGAAAAGAACGCAACTTAACTAGAGACCTCCCTAAAGCAGGCTCATTCAATTAAATAAAAACGCAACCTACCTAGAGAACTGCCTGAAGCAGGCTCAACCATTTAAAAAAAACGCAACTTGCCAAGGGAGCTCCCTGAAGCAAGCTCAACTTTTAAAAAGAACACAATCCTACCTAGAGAGCTGCCTGAAGCAAGCTCATTCAATTAAATAAAAACGTAACCTACCTAAAGAGCTGCCTAAAGTGGGCTCAACCATTTAAAAAGAACGCAACCTTTCTTCTTGATTTTCCAAAGCATTTGAAACTGTTCCACACAAAAGATTATTAGCTAAATTAAATGCATATAGAATAAATGGATTGAATCGTTTCTTAAAAACAGAAGACAAAGAATAGTTCAAGGTGAAACTATTTCTGACTGGGCTAAAATTTTTAGTGGTTTTCCTCCGGGCTCTGTTACTGGTCCTCTACTCTTCATTCTCTACATCAACGTCTTACCAACAAAACTGAAAAATACAACAAAACTCTTTGCAGATGATACCAAAATCATGAGAACAATATCGTCAGATAACGATGTTGTTGAACTTCAATGAAGCATTTAAATGGACGCAAGACTGGCTTCTACGGTTCAATATTGAAAAATGCACTGTTATCCACTACGGACTTGATAATAAAAAATGTCCACTGTATATAAATGGAATACTTCTTGCTGAATCTGAATCCGAGAGAGATCTTGGAGTGGTTTTCTCAAATAACTTAAAATAGAAAAATCAAGTCATCCCAGCATCAAACAAAACAAACCAAATGCTTGGTCGAATAAAAAAATCTTTTGGGAAATTTGATTATAGTTGCTTCGTAATTTATATTTAACTTTTATTCGTCCACTGTTGGAGTTTGCAGTATCAGTTTGATCCCCATATCTAAAGGGTGATAGCGAGGTAATCGAAAGAGTCCAGCACAGAGCAACAAAGTTGGTTCCATTCATAAGAAACCTAGTTTACGAAGATCGTCTTACAAAATTAGGATTAACAACCTTGGTGGAAAGAAGAAAAAGAGGAGATTTGATTCAGTTGTTTAAAATCATGCATAATTTGGACAAAGTTGATTTGAATAATCGTTTTAGCATAGTCAAAACCAAAACGCGAGGTCACAGTTTGAAATATATTTTAAAGAGTTAACAAGACACAGAAGCAGAGAATTACTTATTCAATAGAGTCGCAAATACTTTGAACTCATTACCAAATGAACTTGTTGAGGCACAATCAATAAACAAATTTAAAGCAGGCATTGGTTGTTGGATGAACAACAATCAATCAACGAATCAGCTGTGCTAGCATGCCTGACAGCATGCTCTCTGGATAACTTCCACAACAGCATTACTACTTCTACTACTACTAGTACTACCACTACTAACCTACCTAGAGAGCTGCCTGAAGCAGGCTCATTCAATTGTCAATTATATTTGACCTAGTAGAGACCGTCAAATATTACAATTATACAACACTTTCTATGAACCCAGCGGAAACAGTTTTGACACTGAATCCACAACTCATCAGCGCTTTCATTACAATAAAATCAACATTCATTTGTTTTTTTTTGCTTTTATTCTTTGCTTTTATCTTACGTGAGCATGACCATGTTGACGAAAATTCCACAGATGTGGCCATCCATCTGCTTTGGTAGTTCATTATGCTCTTCAAAGTTGAAATTTTCCCAAGATTGTTTGTTAATTCTTTGGGACATACGCTTAAATCTTTTTTCAAATTGTTTTATTTTCGAAGTAGATGATCCAAGGTTATAAAAATATTTTGTTTAGATTATTATCTACAGTTATTAAACAGTAATGATTGTCGTTGACGACAAGTGGGAAAATACATAATTAGCATTAAGAGTATTTGAAGATGGGGCTAGCACAAATAACATTTTGAAACATACAGTAGTGGACAAGTCACAAAGTATATAAATTGAATTGGTGAACCAGTGAGAAAAATAATCTAAAAGTACGCTACTTACCCATTTTCCCCAATCACAGTTTGAAAATCCGAAAGCAACAACCTATCATTTCCTTTTTTGGAAACGTAGCAATTTCTTCGGACTATTTGCTCGTAATAGCATTTGTTGCTCGGAATGTTGGAATTCGTGATACAAATGCTGCTGTGGCCATTTGAACTTTGGTCATTGCTGCAATTTATTGTGGGTATTTTAACGGTAACTATGCTGTTGAAATAACTTTTGGAAGGTTTACGTTTTTCCCAATAATTTACCACACATTCTTTTACCAATGATTTTATTTTTCTTTTACGAGAAGCGGGTATTTGCAGTAGAACTTTCTTAGTACGCGCATCAACATGGTTTTTCAAAAACTCCGCAAAACGACATATTTTTAAATTTGTCGACCCATTTAGCAATTGGTGTTTCATAAACCTGAAACAATTTTCAATTTTGTTATTGCTTGTTCGTTCCCCGTTTTTATTCAAAATAACTGTCCAGAGGCAAAACCGAAATATATTTTTTTAAAACAAGTTCCGCGAAAGTCTTATTACAATATTCGTTTGGCTCCGTCTGTTCATCGTTCACCAAACGCAATTTGTCGTTAACATGTTCAAGAATTTTTAGGCCATTTCGAAAGAATGGGCTACTTTTGTAAATTGACTCCAATTCATTAACTTCATTATCGTAAACGTGTTCAATTAGGTTGTAATGACTTTCTTCATTCAATCAATCAATCAATCTTCGTTTTGCGTCCAGAGACCCGGTTTTCCGAGGTAGGACGTTGTTTCCTTTGCCATCAACTTTTTGCGCCAAATTAGACGATCAGTTGTATCATTTCATTTAAATTTAGAGCTTTCATGTCTTGCTCAATTGTTTGCGAACAGGACTTTTTTGGACGGCCTTTGGGACGTGTGCCAGGTACTTCAACATCTGCAAGAGAAGTTATGGCACTGTTTCTACTTCGTTTGACATGACCAAACTACCGCAGACGGTGTTGCCGGCATTCGTCCTTTATATCATCTAAACTAGCACGACGAAGAATTTCGGTAGATTTGATGTGGTCCTTCAGACTAATTCGTTGCATCCATCGGAGCATTTTCATGTCGGTTGGTTGAAGTTGTTGTTCCAGTTTGGTTGTCATTGGCCATGTTTCTGCACCATATAACAACACCGGACGTATCACAGATTTATAAAGTCTTGATCGTAGTGGTAGTGGGATGTCACGCCGCATCAATATAGAGGCAAGGAGATGCCATTTATTCCAGGCTGCACGTATGCGTGCTCGAACGGCAGCTTCAGCTGTTCCAGTACAATCCAGAACATCCACTAGATATTGAAACGATGTGACTTTCTCTACCTTAATGATTTCAAAAACAGTGCTATTTCGAATTTGTTGTTGTGGATTGATGCAAGCAGGACAAACAAAATTGTACACTTTNATAAAGTACCAATTATTTTTGAACAACGTTTGTGACACCACTGGTACACTGCTGACACTGAT